GCTATATCAACGAACGTCAATAATATATCTGACTGCAGTTCAATTACTCACTACCTACACACACATTATTGTCCCGTCACGTTGTCACCCTCTTTTATATACCAGACTACCCTATATCTAGTAAATCCTAGAGCATTCGCCAAGGTACAGGATAGTTCTAGAAACGTGGCGTCACACTAGTCATGTGACTTTGCTGACGCAAGAATATGTTCTAGCTTTACTTCATAATATATATCACTTGAAACTCAAATACTTCACTTATAACAAGTACCTAAACTTTGTACAGATTGAAAAAGACAGAAAGTAGATAACATACGCAGATAACCTTTCTAACATATAACATGCTTCGTTAATGTTAACTTTTTGTTCAAGACTTTTAAGTACTTGTAAAATTCCCCAATCTGGAGTTATATATCAAATTTTCAGATTTGTATAAAATTGTTATGCTGGAACTAATTTCCTGAAATTAAATAGATTTAAACGTTCATATTTTGATTAATAATTAAAATTTTACGATATCTGTATAAATTTGTATTTTGGTCTTACACGTCACACGTTCAGGAAGTTGTGCAATCCATTTCGTATTTGAGTTACATTTCAAACTTTTCTATACATCGGTAACTCTGTACGTTGGAACAATTATTTAAAAGTTCTGATATCTGAACAAATCAATATATTCAAGTAAGTATGTTTAGATATTTATGTTTGTATATAAAACATTACAATTTTTAGGTTTCATTATAATTTATATGTTAGGATAATGTTTTATGTGTATATCCATTTAATTTGATGTTAGAATTATTGGTAATAGTACAAAATAGGAAAATAGCCTATCATTCTATAGCGTAATGATAACACCTGAAGACCTTAGCTAGTGTTTCGATTAAGGGTAAACCGTTTTATGACAGAAGCCCAGTTATAACAACTAGATTATATTTATATATATATTTATAAAATGACTGACATATTTTGATATATATATTTCACGAGCCACTAAATTATCACGTTAAAAACATTCGTCCGTATAGAAAGGTCTGTTTCAAGTTAGAAATCCAAGCCTCCATGTCTCATTTTGTGGATTATACAAAATTAACGTGTGTCATTACAAGCTTTTTTTTTATCGGAGTAAGATTACAAGATGGCATACAATACTCTGCTAAACAGGTGTGATTTATCGTATAATGAATTTTCAAATCTTTTGTTCACACAGACTTTGTGCTTAAGCAGCTGAAAGCACATATAACCATTCACTGACTGGCTTATTGGATATCTAAGGTTATACTAGTATCAAAAATATATTATAAAAGCTTAGCAAAACCGAGATGCTTACCATATTGGTAAAGAAATGTTTTGTTAAACTTTATAATACAATGTGAATAAATAAACCTAAACTAATGTTTCTGATAATTTAGCGGCTGAATTTAATGAAGTCAAGTATTAGGAAAGTGAGATTTATGATACGTGGCTTAAGTCATGGTTTCGATGTACACTCCTTTATTCATCACTAAATAACCAAACAAATTGCTTATATCTCATATCTATGTGAAGCCTACTTTACTAATTTGCTTCTCTTCCTAGCGTCATGGACAAGCTGTGAATTAAGCAAAATTAGTCTGCTGTAGCAAGTGCAGCGAATCAATGAATGAATTAGGC